TGGACTGGTAGACTCAAACGGACTGTGGGAATCGATTCCCTGCGTCAAAATACGTCTAGAGACATCCTGGTCGTGTTCTTAAATCAATTTAAAGCGCCGCTAAAATATTTTTCCTTTATAAGCAAATAAAAGAAATAAAATGAAACTTTGGGAGCTTTGCGCGACCTCCAAATCGGTAGGTATCAGGCTCAATTTTTTATTCGGAACCCATGTTTAGGTCCACTACCAGGAACCGAATGAATATTTGGAGAAATCAACAATAACTTTTTTTTTATTGGCACCCCAACGGCAGGTGCAGCTGATTTTGGCCGATTTGGGGGATTCGTCCCCCACCCCTTTTCCTCATTCCCCTGCGCAAGAGGGTACCGTCTCCTGCAACCCAGCCTTGGGCCGGGGTCTGGTCTGTGTCCTTCCTACCCCAGTACACCTTTTTACCACCTTTGGTCATGGTTCATATTGACTGGGTCGTCAGTAAACCCGCAGAAAGCTCGAAAATCGCTATCGAACCATTAATTTTTAGTGAAAAAAGCATAAAAATTGAGGTCTGGGACACACTTATCAGGAGTCTGTTGGCTTGGCCGAGCTTTAAAGGTTGTCTTTAGTGCCAGAGGTGACCACCCGACCATGCAACAGCCACCCGGACGGTTCAAGATGTTTTTATGGGCTTAAAAGTCTCAAAAAGGACAAAAACTCCGCTTTTTCGCATAAAACGTCCGGTAGGGAGTTGAAGTCGTTGTCCAATCGCAAAAACGAGGTCATTTCTGGAATCAGCACAAAAAAACGAAACTTTTTGGTGGTATCCAAAAGTCGAAATCGAAAGTGCTGCCAGATCGACGCCCCCTAGCAAAAAGCGATTATTGTTATTATTTTCCTTGCCAAACGCGAGGCGTGCGCATTCACTCACACTCTCTCACACACACACACACGCACACACACACGCTCAAGACGGAGCGAAGGGCAAACACTGTAATTCTTGATGCAATGAAGACTACAAATTTAGTGCAATAATTTGTTGTTGCATTAAATGCGATAATTTTAACACCTGTTGCTGCGATGATAAATTATCGCACTAAATTGACATTTGTCATTGCATTGAATGCGATAATCTTAACATATTTTGCTGCAATGATAAATTATCGCAGAAAAATATGCTAAAATTATCGCACTTAATGAAATGACGAATGCCAATTTAGTGCGATAATTTTTTTATGGCTCCCCCAGGTGCAATATTTTGTGGGAATCGCTTTTTGGCTATTATCGCATGAAGTTGTATGAAATTTATCGCACTTGACATAACAGTGAACAGCGCAACAATCACAGCCGGAGATTGGAAACAACTTTTGGGGGCGACTATAGAGTCGGGCAGCACAGGCAAAGCTTCACACACAGCAATACAGCGGATGAAAAACGTAGCATTGCGCGCGCGACTTTATCTGACATCACACAAAGTGGGATTTGTGAGCGCCCTTTTGACACACGCCAGCCACACTCTCAGACCTGCACCGATTTATCTATCTAGTGAATATCTACGTTATTGCGCAGTACGACTACTGACTAATTTGTTACTTATTGTGTACATTTTTGTAAGTCACTTACTGATTGAAAAAAATGTCAGTAGTGTAAAAATGAGCTATATCGTATTATTGATAAAAATTTTGTCAGATTATAAAAGCTTTTTTAAGCAGCAGGAATACTGACAAATGGTCAAGAAAATCAGTAACAGGGAGTGCATTGTTTGGAAGCGCAAACAGTCTCATATGACGACGGACGTTAGAATCTTTCGGATAACCCTTGCAGCAGAACGAGAGTTCTGATACAGCGTGGTCGCTCTGCCCCGTAGTTTTGAAAAGGTAGACTAGCCCGCTTGCAAACGGAGCGGGGAGGTGGGAGGGGACGGGAGAGGTAGGTGCGGGCGCGCTAGTCTACCATATTAAAACCACGGGGCAGCGCGGCCACCCTGTATGTTCGTTACTTTTGATCATTCACCCACGCATAGCACACTGTTAAAAAAAGTTGTAAAATTACGACAAATTTTGTAAGAAATTTGTCGTTTAAAAACAACATTGTTGTTTCAACAGAAAACGAAAGCAACGTTAATTAACAGTAAGCTTGTTTTAGTACGACAAATCCGTTTGTTGATGGAAAGATTCATTCTTAGGCAAAACTACATTGGTATCGTATTAGAACGAACTCATTGTTTTAAAACGAAAGAAAATGTTTCTCAACGAACAAATCGTTATTTTACAGAAAGAAATAAAAATAAGTTGTCTTCTCAGTTTTGATGAAAAGAAAATTGAAAGTTAAGAATATTAGTCGATTTTTTTTGTGTAAAATAACGATTTATTTGTTGAGAAACAGGACCGAGTCGTTTCTAAACGATATTGTTTGTATGTTCACAAGAATGTTGTAATCTGACGACACAGTTGTAAACCATACAGAAATAGTCAAGACCCTATCCCTGATCTTAAGAAAAAAAATTTTGTAACAACATTACCGTAAAATAACGATATTTTTCTGACAAGAGTGCTGTAATATAACAACACTTGTCGCTATGAAAGTTTACGATACAGGTATCGTAAATTTACAATACTAATTTTAACAGTGCAGAGTCTCGTACCTCGGGGTGCTTGTCGTGGACGACCTGGAAGCGCTCGTCCTGGGCGTACCCTCCGCGGGCGACGGTGAGCAGGTGGTGGTCCCGCCGCCTCAGCCAGGTCACCTGGAAACAAACACAAAACTTCAGTCGCATGGCAGCAACATGTACGAAACACTTCGCGGAATTAACGATTCACGAAAACACGAATAATTAAGGATTACATCACGACGTACACTTGCAAACCGAGCTGTGTACTTAGTACACACGTAAAGAAGAGTATGGAAAGTGGGTTTGCAGATTACGATTCAGCAATATAGGAGAAAAGAATGCCTATTTTCTCGATTAGTACTCCCGATAATGGCTGGAACATGGCACACACACAAAAAAATCAATCAACAAGATTATGCTGTGTGTTTACAAGAGCGAAAACTTTTCGAAAGACAGTAAATAGGGTTCATAGGGCACGCGAACAGTTCCCCAGAGGCGGGACGGAGCGTAGCGGTGGGGAGGAAGGAAGCGGGTGGAGCTCACGAGAACAAAGAGCTTTCATCTACCAGGGGGCTAAAATAACGAGGCGTACTCACAAGTTTTGACATCCATCAGGGAAAGGCGCGGGAGAAGAGTGTGGGCGGGGAAAGGGTGGGGGTCACACATTTGTTATCGGAGAGAGAACGAGCGAGAGAGGGAGAGAGAGAGCACTTCGAAACCAGGAGGTTTATCTCTAAATACACCCTCACATCATCATCGACTTATGACATGGCTTGATAACTGCTGCTGAATGCCAAGCATGATCCAACTCCAAACATGATCGGAGCCTTTTTTTTGCAATTGTTGACGTTCCAGACATACGGAAGTATTAATGATGGTCACAGATGTGGTCCTGTGCGTGTGTGTGTGCGTGTGTGCCTGTGCGACGCACCCTGTCACCACGCTGCGGGTCATACACAACTCAAATTAGATTAGTGCAGCGCTGGCTCACCCTGGCAACGCGTGGACGTGAGAGAGGGGAGAAGAGAAGGCAGAGAGAGAGAGAGAGAGAGAGAGAGAGAGAGAGAGAGAGAG